AAAAAAAAAAAAAAAAAAAAGTCATAGAAACCCACTGGAGCTGCCTTAAACAAACAAGAATTTGTAATAGGGATACAGAGATGAATTGCAGAATCTAAAGGCAACAATGCAGCCAGATCTTAGAAACAGCTCCAGACCAGGCCTCAACTTGCAGATCTCTGCCTTCCATCTGCTGTTCTCTGTTTGCTTGCTGCTTCTCCCTAGGGACCCAGGCACCACTGCATAGGAAATGGGCCTGCAGAGAGCCTGACTGCTTAGGGCCTGCAGCCACCAAGAGCAGAAGTTGCCTCTGGGACCTGAGCCTGCATTCCCAGGGAGGGTCACAGATACATTTGCAGTGGGTCACCCCTGGCTGGCAGGAAGGGGGCATCACAGACAGAGCCTCAGAGTGCAGTCTTTCTACAAAAGACTTTTTCCCTTTCTTTGTTTTTTTTGTTTTGTTTTTAAGATGGGGTCTTACTGTGTAGTTCAGGCTGGCCTTGAACTCACTATATGGTACAAGCTAGCCTCAAACTCACAGTGACCCTCCTGCCTCAGCCTCCTGAGTACTGGGATTATAGGCCTATGCCATCACTCATGGCTCTCAAGAGCAGAAAATTTTTAACTATTGACATCTATGCAGAGAGCTGTTTGCTTTTGTTTTGTTTTGGTTTTTTTGCCCAGAGTTACTGGAAACCTAGGCACAGGTTGACTTAGTCCTGTAAGCAGGCCCCAAATCCTTGCCTCCCCTCCCCTATTCTGGGGTGCCCGCCTTTAAGTGCAACTTGGAGGTTGTTAAGTGGCATTCTCTTGTTCTGACAAGCTGTGCCCCTCAGAGGCTCTTCATCAGCCAGTGAATCTGATAGCCACCCTGAGCAGAGAATAAAACTCTAAAACCTGACTTCTCTGGGTCTAGCAGGGAGCCATAGGGATTCCTTCCCTCCAGACCAACTGTAACCAGAAAGAAGCCCCAGGAGAGGGCACCCCAAGGCTGCCCCCTCTGTCTTTCCTGTGAATGGCGGGCCCTGACTGTGTGGCTTCCCCACAGGGAGCGCTGGTGGGCATCGTGGGCAAGGTGGGCTGTGGGAAGAGCTCGCTGCTAGCTGCAATCACAGGGGAGCTGCACAGGTAATGAACCTTCTATGCACCCTGTCCATTGCTCTTCCCTTTAATAACCACTTACTGAGCACCTTCTGTGTGCCAGACACCTTTGGGGGAACCAAGAAGAATGTGACACAGCCCTTTTCTTAGGAGAGTTTCCAGCTGGGCAGGGAGAAGCAGTCAGAACAGCAAGTCAGCAGCCTCAGACCAGCATCAGAAGAGCTGTAATAGAGGGCAAAGGAAAGGTGTGCAGCTCTTCTTTCAGAATGTGGGGCTGTGCAGGGGAGGGACCCAGGGAATAGTGTGGATTTGAGGGTGGCCTGTGTTCAGGGGGGACAGCAGGGTGCTGCCACATTTCTCAGAGTCCCAGAACATAGACACGCAGCAAAGAGTAATTTCAGAATGAACCTCAACCTCGGAGGTTGTCAACCCAGAAAGTCGTGGCACAAAGAGGGACCTGAGTAGGAGGTAGCAGGCTGAGGAGGCTTCTCGGAAGCAGGGGCTGGGCATGCAGGACTCAGTAGGGAGCTGGCCCCCACACTGCTCCCCTAACTGCAGGTTGCATGGACGGGTCACGGTATGGGGGCTGTCCAAAGGCTTCGGCCTGGCCACCCAGGAGCCCTGGATCCAGTTGGCCACCATCCGAGACAACATCCTCTTTGGGAAGAGGTTTGATGCCCAGTTGTACAGAGAGGTGCTGGAGGCCTGCGCCCTCAATGAGGACCTGAGTGTGAGTACCTGGCCTTGAAGCTCTTGGCTCCTTCCTCCCACTGTGTCCCTGATACCCCAGACCAGGAAGAGGCTGCATCTCCTGGGGCATCATTGGTCTAGCACTGGCCATCAGACTCTGGTCCTCCCAGAGTGTCCAGCACCTGGCTTCCCTGTCCCTGGAGTGCTCACAGGAATGTTGGTGGCTCAGTTCTATGCAGCAGCCTGGAGAGCCCTGAAATGCTGGGGCCTGGGCAGGGTACCCTATAGACAGAGCTCCACATAGGTTCTGACTCAGGAGCCCCCCCCCCCACACACACACACTGAGAAGGTTTGGAAGAGTCAAGGTCTCCTTTAGAAACCTCCAAGCCCTTTGTCTGTCTACCCACAATCCTCGCTACTAAATTGATCAGGAAAAAGATTATAGGCTTTTCCAGGACTTTCCCACCAAATCTGAATGTCCCCTCCTGGACTTTCACCAGTGCCCCACCCAGATGTGTGTAACTTCCCTGCAAAGGAGGACCTTTGACTTTGACTCTGAGGCAGCCTGTGGCCATTTACCATTTGTTTCTATCTCCTCCTTCCCCCAGAAGTCCCCTGGGTCCTGGATGCTGTTGTAAGCACTAGGAAAAAGGTTGAGTAACAGCTTTGCCCTTAGGAGACTCCCTATCTAGTGGATCATGGCTGCTTCCTCTGGGCATGGGGACCCTTAGCCTAGATACTCCTGGAGCCACGGAAAGGCTCAGGATGCATTTCTTTTCCACAAGTCTTGAGAAAGCTTTCACGTCATACTAGCCCTTTGTCATACTTGCCTGTTAAAAAGGCAGGGGAATAAGTGCAACAGATTGGTTAAGAATCTGGGTTTGGACCGTGCATGGTGGCACATGCCTCTAATACTAATACCGTGGGAGCCTGAGGCAGGAGGATGGCAAGAGCCCAGCCTGGACAACTTAGGAAGACTGTCTCAAAATTTAAAAAAATAAAATAAAAAGGGCATAGGATGTAGCTCAGTGGTAGAGCAGCCCTGGGTTTGATCCCCAGTACCACCACCACCACCACCACCAAAAAAAAAAAGTTTATTTCCTGACCCCTACCAGGTATAGTCAAGGTAGGTGATCTGCCTGAGCTTTGTATCATCTTTGAAAATGAAATAATACCACCCTCATAAGGTCCTTGTGGGGTTCAAACAAGATAATCCCTGTGAAGTACCCAGCATATAGTAAGTGATCTGTAAGTGTTTGTAGTTGTCATCATGACTTCGCTCCTCTGACTCAGACCCCCCAACCCAGTATAAACCGTGTCTCAGGCTCCCTTGACCTTCGTCATCTCTTTCCTATGAAGGGATAGGAGATGGGCAGGTTTCAGGGGAGCTTGCTGACCCCTGCAGAGCTGTTCCACCAGGTTCTGCCTGCTGGAGACCAGACCGAGGTCGGGGAGAAGGGTGTCACCCTCAGCGGAGGACAGCGGGCCCGGATTGCCCTTGCTCGAGCTGTGTACCAGGTAAGTTAAAGGTGGCAGAAGCATGGAGGTCGGGGCAGTCTGGAGCCTTGCAAGCTTGGCCAAGCGGAGGCCCTGGGTCTGTTCCTCGCCTGATTAGAGAGAAGTCTGCGGGTCTCCCTTCCTTCCCTGTGCTGTAGTGTTCTCACTGCCCTTTCTTGACTTCCTGAGACCAGGGCCTGCCTGCTTGCCTCCCTTATTCCAGGAGAAGGCACTCTACCTCCTCGACGACCCCCTGGCTGCTGTGGATGCAGACGTGGCCAGCCACCTGCTGCACAGGTGCATCCTGGGAGTGCTGAGCCATACAACACGGTTGCTGTGCACTCACCGCACTGAGTATCTGGAGAAGGCCGACCTGGTGCTGCTCCTGGAGGATGGGCGCCTCGTCCAGGCTGGTAAGGTGTCGGGGAGCCGGGCTGGGTGGGGTAAGAGAGAGGGACAGTGGGTTGTCAGGTGCAGAGCCTGTGGCCCCTCCCCTTCACAAAACTAGCTTAGAAGTGGGACTTGAGGCTTTCTGACAGTTGCTCTTGGAAATTTAGAGGCCCAGGATCTCAGAGCAGTCTGATGTCCTCTTGCTGAGCAGGACCCATCACATCCATCCCTCTGGACTCCAGAAGAACACATGATTGGGTTAGAACAGCCTCTTTGTAAAGAACAAAAACAAAAATCTCCAGAGGGTTATGGTTCAGAAGACATGGCCACTTCTAGTTTCACTGGAGAAAAGGAAGCAATGAGGTTCAACTGGAATGTCAGGAATTGAGTGTTAGGGATTTTAAAGACTATGGAGGGCTTGCTTTGGCAGCACATACACTAGGAAAAAAAAAAAAAAACCCAAAAAACTCCATGGAAATAAGCAGTGACTGGCCAGGGTGCAGCCATAGCTGTGACTCCTTGGTTCTTCTGCTGGTCACACTCTAGAAGGATGGATGTGACAGGTCCTGCTCAGTTGGGGGCATCTAGGGCAGGACCCTGCTAGGGTGGGTGTGGGAGGAGGGCAGGCAGAAGGGACAGGGAAGTGGGACCACACACATTTTAGGAACACATGGTACAGACCCAAGCGGCCCCTCCCCTATCCCCTTCTATCTTCCAGGGCCTCCCTCTCAGATTCTGCCATTGGTGCAAGCTGTCCCCAAAACCCGGGCTAAGGATGGACAAGAGCCTGGCTCAGGTGCGGCCCAGAGGTGGGAGGAAGGGACTTGCTTTCCACCACCACACCCGAGAGATTGTTTTGTTTTAAAGCTTGCTTGATCCTCTGAAACCCTAATTTGTCCATAATCTCCCTGGTCTGCACAGCCAGGGCCTTGTTGGTACAGAGCCTGGAGGACAAGGAGAAGGGTCTGGAGGCTGAGCAGAGCAGCTGTGGCCGCCTGCTGCAGGAGGAGAGCAAGAAGGAGGGTGCTGTGGCCTTGCATGTGTACCGAGCATATTGGAGGGCCGTGGGCTGCATCATGGCCCTTGCCACTCTCTTCTCTCTGCTCCTCATGCAAGGTGGGAGTCCCTTGATCCCCCAAGGCCACGGTGTCCAGGTGCCTATCCCCATCACCTTGTACTGATCAACGCTGACTCCAGAGACTCACTGAGCGTGGGCCACAAATGCTGAGAGTCCCAGGGCCTGAGCAGCACACTCCCTAGACACCTTCCACCTGACTCCCAGACCTGCACCTCTCTGTTGGTACCCATGCTGTCCCCAGGTAGAAGGCTTTGGGCCTAAGATAAAAACACGAGCAGGGGGCTGGGGATTTAGCTCAGCGTTTCGGTGACCTGCCTTGCAAGCGCAAGGACCCGAGTTCAATCCCCGGTACCAAAAAAAAAAAACACGAGGAGGATGATGACAGTGTGGGGAGTCTGGGCTGTAGGAGGGTGGAAATAGAGTGAAAGACATATGTGTCTCTCTCGACATCCTCCCTCCGTCCCGTCCAGCCACACGCAACGGTGCAGACTGGTGGTTGTCTTACTGGATCTCCCAGCTGAAGGCAGGAGGGAATGGCTCTGGGGAGGTGCTCGCTTCTGCCACCCAGAGCCCCTCGAGGCTCTTCTCCCCGCAGCTGCTCCTCTTCTCCCCTGGAAGCCTCTGGTGAGTGGCAGCCTGGGCACAGGCCCAGTGGTCTCAGGGCGGCCTCCAGGGAGGGAGTGGGGACTGGGGAAATGGAGGGAGCCCTGAGTGGCCCTACTTTCGGTTACCCATAGCCTCCTCCCCACCCAGCACCCCAGTGTTCCCACTGCCCAAAGCCACCCCCAGTGGCTCCTCTGACCTCCGTTTCTACCTCACCGTGTACGCGACCATTGCTGGCATCAATTCACTCTGCACACTTCTCAGAGCAGTGCTCTTCGCGGCAGGCACCCTCCGAGCAGCTGCCACCCTGCACTGCCGCCTGCTGCAGCGAGTCCTTCAGGTGAAAGGGTGTGGGACAGCCCTGGCCCTGTGTCCCCAAAGCACAGCCCCTCCCGGGGTACCCAATATCCCCTCACCAATGGGTCTGGCATGTGACACCTTGGAAGCCCACAGAGCAAGTAGCTGCCTGGGCTTGAATCCAGTGATTTCCACTGATGGTTTTCCCATTTATAAAATGGGGCAAAGAGAGAACATTCCTCAGGGTACTGTTACCTTTGGACCTCCGTGCAAAAGCTGCCCTTATCTCCATACCCTGTTTCTACTTCTGCCGCTTTCCTGATAAATAACCATTCTAAGTGTGCTCAATATGTATTTTTGTAACACTCTGAGTTTTGTGTGCCTGCATTTTTAATTTATGTAAATGATATTATGTTAAGGCTCCCATTCTGTTTCTTACAGTTTTTGTGTGGCATTGTTTCTAAGAAACCATCCATGTTGCTAAGTGAATATCCGGTCTTCTGACCCAGTATGCTTGTTATGAGCATTAAATTAATTAGCACATGGAAAGTTCGTAGGATACGCCATGGCACACATTAGGAATTATTATGAACATTGTCATCACTATAAAGCCCTTCCTTGCCTGTCGTTAGGGCCTCACAATAACCCTGTGAGGTAGGCAATGTTACCTTGTTTTACTGCTAAGGAAACTGAGGCATGGAAAATTTGACCTGTTCCTACAGGGAAGGTGGGAAAGGGAAAGGGCTGTCCTTGAGGCCATACCTTTGACAGCTAGCAATTATTGAGCATGCATTGTGTGTCAGGCAGATATGCTAAGCGCTGTGCCTGTGGGTTTTAACCCTACCAGCACCCCTTTGAGATGAGGTTCCATTCGTCCCTGCTTTTCAGATGAAGTGGAATAGAGGCCTTTGAAGTGTCCCTAGCCTGAGCTCCCACATCTCGGTGGCAGAGCTGACTCCAGAGCCTGAGCCTTTAACCATATCTTTGACTTTGGCCAGTAATCCTCACCATGCTGTCTAGCCATGGCCAATCAGGATTCCTCCTGACTTTTGGTGAACTGCCACTCACCAGCCAGAAAGCTCCATCTTCTGGAGAGATCTTAGCTCCCTGCCCTTGGAGGGTAGTGGACTCATCTCATCCAAAGTAGGAGGGATGGCCAGGAGTTGGAGAGGACCTTTCCTGCCTGGGATAGTAACCCTCTAGGCTTCACCAGCGCCTCCTCTGCCCCCAACCCCTGGACATGTTTTACTGCTTTTCTCTTTCCAACCTCAGGCCACCCTGCACCCTGCCCCTCCCCAGTGCACCTTGCCAACTCCTTTTCTCCAAAGTCTCCCTTGCCCACCACCACCACCCCACTGCAGGCGCCTGTATCTTTCTTCGACTCCACACCCATGGGCCGGGTGGTGAACCGCTTCTCCTCTGACGTGGCTTGTGTGGACGACAGCTTGCCCTTCCTCCTCAACATCCTGCTCGCCAACGCAGTGGGTCTGCTGGGCCTCCTGGTCATGCTGGGCTTTGGCCTGCCCTGGCTGCTGCTGTTGCTGCCACCGCTCAGCATCATGTACTACCGTGTGCAGCGCCACTACCGGGCCTCCTCACGAGAGCTGCGGCGCCTGGGCAGCCTCACGCTGTCCCCACTCTACACCCACCTAGCCGACACCTTGGCTGGTCTCCCTGTGCTCCGGGCAGCTGGGGCCACCTACAGGTGTGTAGAGTCACTGCCTTGACTAGAGGTCGCAGCTGAGGGTGAAGGACCCCTGGGAAGAGGGACAGGAAGGGAAAGGGGAATCCAGGCATCCTAGGGAAGAGGTAGGGGTGAGGGCCCTAGAGGAAGGGTAAAAACCAAAGAGGACATGGGGCAGTACAGCCCCCGCCTTCAAAAGAGCACCTGTGATCCCAGCACTCAGGAGGCTGAGGCAGGAAGATTACAAATACAAAGCCACCCTGTGATATATAATGAGACTCTGTCTCAAAAAGACAAAAGCATACACAGGCATCTGTGCCTTCCTGAGTTGAGGCCCATGGGTATGTGGGTCAGTTCTCAGAAATGACTTGGGTTGTAAGAAAGGTGTTGGGGTGGATTGATACAGCTTTGGGGTGGCCCCACTTCCCTCTGCCTTCCCAGGTTCGAGGAAGAGAACCAGCGACTGCTGGAGCTGAACCAAAGATGCCAGTTTGCTTCCTGCGCCACAATGCAGTGGCTGGACATCCGGCTGCAGCTCATGGGGGCAGCAGTGGTCAGCGCCATTGCGGGCATTGCCCTGATACAGCACCGGCAGGGCCTTGCTAACCCAGGTGCCACCCAGACCCATCGCCCTGCTCCCAGGCCCCTCCTTCCAGCCCCTGCTCCAGACATCTGTACCATCCCCCAACCTTTCCACCTCAAGCCACGGTTCCCTGTGCAGCTGTCCCTGCCTTTATCACCATCACCCCCATTTTGGAGTTAAACTAAGGCTCCAGGAACAGTTGCCCCTCGGTGGTGGATCTGGGATTAGAATGAGTCTTCTGATCTTCCAATCTTCACCCCTTCCCTACCCCAACCCCAGCCCCCCAACTTGCCTTCCCCCTCCCATTGTCACCCCTCATGGCTTCCCTACTCCCTCCCTCAAGCCTCCTAGGGACCTGGCCTCAGGCCATCATCTACCTGCCTCTCTGCCCACTTCCTGGAAGCACCCCGTCTGCAGCCAGGGTTCCCCTGCCCTGCCCACCTCCACGGTGTTCAGCTCCCCTAGCACTGTGCTCATCTCCCCAGGACTGGTGGGGCTCGCGCTGTCCTACGCCCTGTCCCTCACTGGGCTGCTCTCGGGCCTGGTGAGCAGCTTCACAAAGACAGAAGTCATGCTGGTGAGCGTGGAGCGGATGGAGGAGTACTCCTGTGACCTGGCCCAGGAGCCCCAGGGCCACCTGCTGCAGGTGCACCACCCTCTACCCAGGCCAAAGCCTGGAACTCTGAAGGCCCGGTCTCCCACTCCTTCCTTTATTCCTCACCATTTTTCTCTGCCCACGTTAGCTTGCTCATGTGGCCACCAATGATCCCCACTGCATCCTTGTAGCCATCTCCATCCCTTCTCTCCTCAACCCATCCATTTCCTGTATTCTCTCTCCTTCCACCCCGCTGCACTGTGCTTCTTTCTCACCTCACTGTCTCCCTCTGTCTTCTGCCCACAGGCCACCAGCTGGCTGACCCAGGGGAGCGTGGAGTTCCAGGATGTGGTGCTGGTGTACCGGCCAGGGCTGCCCCCCGCCCTGGATGGGGTGACCTTCCGTGTACAGCCTGGAGAGAAACTGGGCATTGTGGGCCGCACGGGCTCCGGAAAGTCGTCCCTGTTCCTGGTGCTGTTTCGGCTGGTGGAACCCAGCGCAGGGCGGGTGCTGCTGGACGACACGGATACCAGCCAGCTAGAGCTGGCCGAACTCAGGTCTGGTGGCAGAGATGGGGGCAGCCAGGAATCCTGGCCCTTAGAGCAGGTCATGGCCCCAAAGATGTCTGTAAATGGGATAGCCAGGGCCAATAAGGGCAAAGGTGGAGGATGAGACAGGCAGGAGGCAGTGTGGATTTGTGTCAGAGTTACAGTGATGGCCTAGGTCTTGCTCACCGCGATCCAGGCCACACTTGCAGCTTTGTCTTCTTTTTTTTTGGTACTGGGGATCAAGCTCAGGACCTTGCGCTTGCGAGGCAGGCAGCAGAACCACTGAGCTAAATCCCTGGCACTAGCTTCGTCTTTGTGTATTCTTCTAAATCAGAAGTCCCAGGGACTATAACCCCAGATGCCATGGTCCCTTGGCCCTTGGGCTCAGCTGGTAGTGCCTGGGACAGCTTGAGATTTGAGCCAGTTGCCCCTGGGTACAAGTGGCCTCATCTGGGCTCTAGGTCCCCTGTCCCCAGGTTCTTCAGTGTCATTTCATCAGCTTCCTGGCATGGAAGTGGCAGGAGGCTGGGTCCTAAGCCCTGGGATTTAATTTTCTCTGGCCTCTTTCATCTAATTGGTAGTGGCTTCACCACGTATCTCGACCTTACAGGTCCTCAGGACTGCACCCCTTCCCACTCATCCACTCTGGTTGTCCCCTCCTTAGCCAGTATTCTCCCTGAAGTCATTGTCACACTGTGTGGCCTGTTCACTCCTTCGGTCTTGGTTCCTCAGTGAGATGCAGGCTCCTGAGGATGGGTTCCAGGCCTTTGGTGTCTGTGGCACTGCCCAGAGCCCCACCTGAGTTTGAGGTGCCCAGCTGCCTAAGTGGGCACCGGGTGGGGATGTGGTAGAGAGCAGCAGGCTTATCTTTAGGCTCCATCCTGGGCTCTCCTGGAAGTACTAGTCCCATCACTAAAACCTATGCTTCAAGAAGTGGCCACATCTTCAGCCGGCTCCTGTGTCTTGTCCCCAGATCCCAGCTAGCTATCATCCCCCAGGAGCCCTTCCTGTTCAGTGGGACTGTTCGGGAAAACCTGGACCCCCAGGGCCTGCATGAGGACAGGGCTCTGTGGCAGGTCCTGGAGCAGTGCCACCTGAGCGAGGTGGTCATCTTCATGGGTGAGTGCTGTCCCCAATGCAGAGAGCAGGGATGAGAGGGAGGCCCACACTGAAGGCTCTGTGCCCTGCAGGTGGCCTGGACAGTGAGGTGGGTGAAGGGGGCCGGAACTTGTCCCTGGGACAGAGGCAGCTGCTCTGCCTGGCCAGGGCTCTCCTCACAAATGCCAAGGTGAGGTGAGAGGAGACAGTGGAGGGGACTGGGAGGGAGTCAGGGGATGTGTCCGGGGACCTGGGACGGGAGCATCTCAAGGAAGAGCTGGAGGCGGGAGCTCTTGGCAGCCTGGGCTACAGCTCCTTATACCCCTCCATGTTCCAGATCCTCTGTATCGATGAAGCGACAGCGAGTGTGGACCAGAAGACAGACCAGCTGCTGCAGCAAACCATCTGCCAACGCTTTGCCAACAAGACAGTGCTGACCATTGCCCACAGGTGCACTGGTGCCCAGAGAGTGAGAATTGTTGAGGATTGTTGGAGGACCCAGAACCTCCCTCCAATCCTTTGGTCAGGGGCCCAGATCTTGGCTCCTTTCTCTAGGCATTGGCCCAATCCTTGGTGGTCCATTCTCTGAGGGGGTCCCACTGTCCTTCCTGCCAGGGACCAACACCTATGGGGACAAACCTGTACAAGTCTGGAGGAGCAGGGAGGGATAGCAGGTCAGCTTTCTCCTGCAGGGCACTGTTCCCTGGCTCCCAAACTGACGACTGTCTCTGTGCAGGCTCAACACAATCCTGAACTCGGACCGCGTGCTGGTGCTCCATGCAGGGAAGGTCGTGGGGCTGGACTCCCCCACCGCCCTGTGTGACCAAGGACACTCAGTGTTCCGGCAGCTGTTGCAGAGTGGCCTGGAGGGAGCTGCCGCCCCTCCTGGGCACCCTGAGCCCCGGGTTGTGGCCCCAGAACTGTCCCCTCCCTCTGAGCAGCAGGGCTAGTGCAGAGGTGCTAGCCATTTGTTTTTATTCTCCAAGGCTCTACCTCTCCCCACTGCCCAGAGGGGACAGGGACACTGGTGTCTTCTAGGGAACCATTTCTGGAGGGGGCGGCATCAAGGGCCAAGGCCTCTCCCGGACCAGGCCTCTGTCCCGGCAGCCCTCATCTCAGACTCTAGGTGGGTGGTTTTTCTGCAACAGGAGTCCACTTGCATTTTTATAGTTTTATTTGATAAAACATTCTGTGTATTAAAAAAATAATATTTCTCGATGCATACATCTGTGCGAAGGGGTGAGGAAGGACAGCTGCAGTCTGAAGTGTGGAGGAGGTGAAGATGGGGCTGGGAGCCCCCACCACCATCACAGCGCCGTGGTCTTGCCAGGCTCTGGGGCCAGGTATGGTGACAGGGGCAGCCCGGCCGGCAGCATGCTCACCTGACACTCCTGGTCCTGCCGGGCAGGGGTGTAGTGGGGCGCTGGGTAACAACAGGGTCCAGGGGGGCAAATGCCCTGGCGCCAGGCCCTCAGGGTCAGCAACACAGTGGCCAGGACCAGGGCAGCAGTGAGAGCCCCGAAGACAACCAGGGCCACCAGACTCGACTCCCCCAGACCAGCCTCCTGCCTCCGCACCACCTCCTTTACAGAGATGTGCAGCAGGCCTGCACCCACACTGTGGGGCACTGGCCCTGTGGCAGGGACCACCACTGCTGAGGTGGGCCCCACGGAGGTATCTGCCATGGTGGCAGGGTCAGGGATGGGTAGGACAAGCTCACAAGTCTTGCCCCCATAGCCACTGGGACAGAGGCAGTCAAAGTCGTGGACACGGTCCCGGCAGCGGGCGCCTCTCTGGCAGGGGCGGCTGGCGCAGTCATCCAGGTTGATGGTGCAGAATCGTCCGGCAAAGCCCTCAGGGCAGAGGCAGGAGAAGCGGTTTATGCCGTCCACACAGGTGGCACCATTGGCACAAGGCCGCATCAGGCAGTCGTCTACATTCACCTCACAGTGAGCACCCACGAAGCCCGCCAGGCAGCGGCATGTGAAGTTGGGGGCAAAGCCCTGGTCATCCAGGCACTGCCCACCATTCCGGCAGGGGGAGCTATGGTGGTGGTGGGAGGGGACATAGATACTGGCTTGTGATGCCTGTGGGGTGGCCCTGGTCAGCATCTTGAGCACTGGCCCCCCTTTCTACCTGTGTCACCTTGGGCCATTTGTCTCTAACACCTCATTTTATTTCATTTTCATTTACTTCTTTTTGCAGTAGTGGGGATTGAACCCAGGGTCTTCACACTGGGCTCTATCCCCAGCCCTTTTGCATTTTTTTTTTTTTTAAGATGTGCCTCAGCCTCCCAGAGTGCTGGGTTTACAGGCATGATGTCTAAACACCAAATTTTCAAAGAGAATAAAAATAGTGCCAGCTTCCCAAATAGGGTTAAATTAGGGAAGCCAGTGTCAGGCAGTGAGCACGGGGTCTGGCTCAAAAGCAGGACTCAGGATAAGTGTGCTATTATCTTCATGAAGGCTCAAGTCTGAAGCAGAAACCAGGGCAACTCCTGCCCTGTGGGCCCTTTTGTCATCCACACAGTGATGCGCCAGGCTGCTGCATGGGACATCTTTAAGGGCTGCGGGCCAGCTTGTCCCCTCTCCCTGACCACAGCGGACACATGATCTATTCCGCCTCCCACTCCAACCTAGCACTGTTGGAGAAATGGCTCAGAAAGCACCTCCTGTGGTCTGATCCTCAGTCTTCCTCTCTTCACTCCTGCCTCTTCTCATCCTGTCCCCAGCTTCTGGTAGGACCTCACCCTGAGCCCAGCACTCACCCTGCCCGCTCACAGGGGCCTGCCTTGCGCTCGCAGTCCCGCCCATGGAAGCCAGGTAGGCACACGCAGTGGTACTCGCCGCCCCCGTCATACACGCATTGGCCTCCGTTCCGGCAGGGGGACTGCGAGGTGCAGATGTGTTCATCTGCAGGGGAGACAAAGAAGGCTCTGGGGTGGCCATCACATCTGGCTCCAGATGACCCAAGAGTGGTCCCAGCACCTTATGTGACACCCCCCTCCAGGCTGGACAGGGGTCTCTGATCTGTAAAATGAGTACAGTTTCTAGCAGATGCCATCCCAACCTTACAGGGTTAGGCTGAGGACCAATTCAGACAACAGATAAGAAACTGAAAAAGATAAAAGACCCTATTTTTGAGGATATGAGCAGGACACAATCAGTGCTCAATCAGTGCTGAAGGATGGTCCCCTAAGACAGCCTCCCAAGCCAACAGCTCACCTCCTGCCCCCTACCTTTGTCACAGAATTTGCCCGCCCAGCCACTGTGGCAGATGCACTGCCAGGGCTGGTGGCAGGTGCCGTGTTGGCAGCCAGGCATCCTCACACAGTGCTCACAGTGCAGCCCCTCCCAGCCTGGGTCACACCTGATGGGAAGAAGACAGGGTCAGGGCTGGGGTGGGGTGGGGGGACAGAGCAGAGTTTCTAGAAACCAAGAGGCCATGGGAAGGCAGACCTGTTTCAGGTGGGTGTAAGGCTGTGGGGGGTGGTGACACACATAGAATCAGACCAGCAGGTACCAGCATTCGGGCCCTGCTTCTGTACCTTGTCCAACCTTTCTGAACCTGTTTTCACCTGGAAATTGAGGTTACTCCCCTCAGGTTGTGTGAGGAAGAAATAAGAATGTCTTTGAATGCCATGAGTACCACTCCTGGCACAAACATTTACAGAGTGACCTTGAAAGGTCATCAGACTACCTTCCCATTGCATTCCATGGCAAACATCTGACCTGCTCAATCGCTACGTTGCCCAGGCTGGGCTCAAATTTGCAATCCTCCTGCCTCAGCGTCCCAGAGTGCTGGGGTTACAGGCCTGTGCCAACACAGCCAGCTCCCTGTTTCTTAAACTACACACTCTCCTTCTGCCCAGCATCTTCCCAGCCACCCCTCTGAGTCAGTTGGTCAGTTTATCAAGAAAGAGCCTCTTTCCAGGAGAACCGCTCCCAGCCACCTGCCTGCAGCCTTTCCTCCCCAGGCAGCACCTCTGTCTCGCCTTCATCGTCCCCTTGTCTCATGGTTCCAATCTCCAGGTCCCTCTGGGTATCTGGAGGAGCAATGTTCAGAATCCCTGGACCAGACTTGGGAGGATGAAGTCGTGGGAGGTAGAGGAAGCAGAGGGTGACAAAGGGGAAGGGCCCAGTGTGGGGGGGGGGTCAGCCTGCCTGTTTTGCACATCACTGAGAAACAGCAGGGCACACAGTGGGGTCCTAAGCTCCTCCACACTGTGTCCTGGCTGGTGACCTGGATGTGGGTGTGGAGGGCTGTGCTTGGGGAGCTGAGGGTCTAGATACCTGCAAGAGCCGTCGGGCATGCAGCAGCCGTGGGCCAGGTTGCAGTGGGCGCTGCAGTCGTCAGCTGCAAGACATGGATGTGGAAGCAGTGAACCAGCAGGGCACACAGTGGGGTCCTAAGCTCCTCCACACTGTGTCCTGGCTGGTGACCTGGATGTGGGTGTGGAGGGCTGTGCTTGGGGAGCTGAGGGTCTAGATACCTGCAAGAGCCGTCGGGCATGCAGCAGCCGTGGGCCAGGTTGCAGTGGGCGCTGCAGTCGTCAGCTGCAAGACATGGATGTGGAAGCAGTGAACCTGGGCCAGGGTCCGCTCTCTGGGACGCGGGACTCAGAAGAGGATTCCAGGCTCGCAAACAAGGTAGCACAGACCGTCCCACTCCCAAAGGGCCTCCCAGGTCTAGTTTTCCCCGCAGTCGAAGTAGCTGCAGTGCCTGCCTTGGCCAGCAGAGGTCAACATGCTCGCGGGCGCGGCCGGCAGGACCCGAGAGGAGCGGAGCAGGGTGCGCTCACCTCTGGACGGCTGACCCGGCGCCCCCAGGATGCACAGCAGGCACACGAGACGCAGGCAGCGGCAG